TGTGTGTGTGAGAGAGAGAGAACGCTAAGAATGTGTGTGTATGTGCTATTTTTGTGCAAAACCTGAATAATATTTTTTTTCTGACCCTTGTTTTTCTATCCCTTTATGATGGCTATGAATTTTTTGTATGGAAGTAAGGGGGTAAATGGAGAAATACGTCAAGCCGAGGGGGTTAATGATGGAGGAAAAGTTGAGAATCCCTGTGTTAGTTAAAACTGAGTACCTTATGAAGTTGAGAAGCTGAGTATAATACTAGAGAAAAAATTTTAAAAAAAGTAATTTGTATCATTCCAAGGCACATGGGTTTTACAAAACTATAGAACGGTGCTGCAGAGTATATCTGGAATTTTTCTTTTCTAGGTAACCATTCATGAAGATGTTTAAGGACAACCTAAGAATGGGAATAAACAGGTTTTTTCTTCCAGTGGAGAAAGGAATACAAAGTCTAAATAATAATGTGTATCAGAATATCATTTATGTTTCAAATACTTCATACGTACCAAGCAGTACTCCCGATCATAATCCCTGTAAAATATTCTCATGTAAGGATATGCTCTAATTTTATGTTTCACAGACTTCATGACGCGGCGAGTCTCTGAAAGGTGACCATAAACGTACAGTGCTCTTTCGTCTGGTGACATACCTGTATGTGACAGGTAGATTGATGGATAAAGAGCCCTGCTTGCTTCAAATAACCACGATAATCTGTAAAATTATACAAAAGTATATATGGAAAAAAATTAGTTATAGTATTTTTTTTTAGAAAAATATGTCAAATAATAAAACTAATTACAATGAATGAAGTAAGTCTGCTCCTGTAAAGTACATGATAAATATACAACAAGAAATTATTTTTATTTAGCAAAGTTGTGTATATATAGTATTGGAAGTTGTTATGGAAACTGAATAATGTGGGTGTACAATGTAAATATGGGATTGCTCCCTCTCTATTATGAGAATGAACTTTACCAGATTACTTTATTCATGTGGTGATTGTTCACACTGTGATTGGACAGTAGCATTCCCAGCAGTAGTGTAGTGAATGCATTCATTACTCCCACGAGATAAATACCTGCATGAAAAATGTATCGAAACTGAAGAGAGTACATTGAACTAGTACAATTGATAATGGAAGTGATCAAGGTAGAAAGCCCAAATTTTTCAAAAGCGATGTTATGCAACTTGGGGTAACCTCTACTTGATGATTTAGTAAAGATGTTGTTAAAGACCTAGCTGTAAGTACAGATGTGAACATTACTTACAAAACAGCAAGATAGAAATTAACATGAAGTGGCCTCAAAGTATGTCTAGCTACTCGAAAACCACCGCTTAGAAAAAAAAAAAGGCTAAAATGGGCATCAGATATCAAACAATGGGATGAGCAAAAGTGGAGGAGGGGGCTCTTTACAAGTTAATTTAAATTATGTTGAAACAGGGATGGTTTGTTCAGTTGCAGAGAAGAGAATAGTGAAACATGTTGAGGGACCAATATAAATGGAAGCCTCATCTCAACCAGTAGTGCTGAAGGTCTATCCAAAGTAGATTTCACCCTGACTGCTAACAAGTGCCAACAAATTCTGATCCATAATTTCATTACCTCTGGAACAAAATCTTTTGAGCAGGAATTCATCTTTCTGCAAATTGGTGGAATAATACTTGAAAAAAAAAACATTACTGGGACACTTGAAATCATGGTTTGCTTTAGATAGGGTCATATGAATATTATTAAGGCTGTATGGGATTATATGAAAACTGGGGTTAAATAGCAACCACAAACTTGGCTTAATTTTATGGATTAATGCAGGACATTTGGAGCAATATATTTTTACAATCATACCAGGACAGAAAATTATTGATACTAGGTGGCGCTGAGGATTTTGTAGAGATAGCTATGGCACATAGCCATATGTAACTTAACTTGGCATTGTATTCAAATACGTAGCATAAAAATGTGTTTTACTGTTGTTTTTAGAGCAAACGAAAATGATTATTTGCTTGTGTTTTATACTTTCTGCAATAATGGATTAATTTTAAATTTACCATTTAGTTTTAATTACTTGTTTGCGACATCTGTAAGAGTATCACCTATGCGTTTCTATAATTATTTCCAATACTGTAAATATGGAGAATGAGAGGACTCGTTTTTATCACAAATATCGATTTATCATTTAAAAATATTTGATTATAACACTATGCTACAATGTAAATTTCACCTGTCATTTTCTTCCTTTACTTTTTCAGAGCAGTCCCTCTGACCTGGATAGTGATTATAACAATCTGGAAAACTATAGTAGCCCCACGAACCCCAAGGTCTTAAGGCCGTTATTACTTGTAGTGTCGTTTCCATAAATGCTCTGAAAAGTTGAACGCGTAAAATTGTGCTATTCGTCACAAAAACCAGACGTAAAGTAAAAGAACAAGAAAATATGTAATTTGTTCATTAAGTAATACATGCATTATAAAGAAATTTTACGACAAACATATACCTTCGTTTCGAAAATACATAGGATTTTTTTTTATTTCATTATAACTTAAAATATTGCTCGACTTGGATATATTATATTTGGAGAATCTTGATTTCTTATTTTAACTTAAGTTGTTTTTGTTTTTTTTATACCTTAGAACCTAATCTAAGTGAGAAGCACATCTAATTACACAGAAAATACCAGATCATACCTATATATTCAATTCGAGCCATAATAATTACCTGGCAGATAATTCAAACTGACGTTTGGCTTCTTTTTCAATGTCATCTGGGTTCCATGTTGGGTGTTCTTTACGAACTAGTTTTCTTGATTCTGAGCGGTAAACTTCCATTCTGTCCCAGTCTCGTTCCCAAATAGGTCGCCATTTCTCTTGATCAATGATACCAAGACCACAAAAGTCTCGTTTAGGAATTGTTTCTTCCACATCTCTTTTCACTATCTCCAGGTGATGGGTTAAGTTCCCTAACTAACAAGAGCGTTACTGAAAATATTTATAATTGGCCATACTGCAGTTAAGAAAAAAAGAAGCACAATGGAAATATACGTATGACATATTGTACCAATTTCTTTTTAACTTTTAAGTCTTAATTTTTTAAATTGGAAACGCTTTCGTTGTTTTAACTGCCCTACAACTATAAAATTTAGCTTAAAATGAGGTGTTATAATAATAATAATAAAATGATTGGCCTTGGTATTCTGCGAAAGATCTCGACGGCACTTGATACGACACTTATAATATGGTTAACGTGATATTATACACAACTTTCACTCGGTTCTTCTAAATAATTATCAAGGTAAAAGACATTTTTAAGTTTCAGTTTAGAATGTACGAATAACTTAACTTTACAAAAGAATGTAATATTTTACAGCTATCAAAAATATTTTCGATAATATTTGCTACTTTATATATAAATTATAGTATATTTTAACTGTACAATTTTTACTTTATTACTTATGTGTAACTGTAAGTTACTCTACTGCTGTTTCCAAAATATAAAAAAGGTATTTTTAAATATGATTCACACATACCAATGTGTAATAAAGCATATTTTGAAAGTTTAGTAAAGCAGATGTAGTTCATTTTAATTATAATTTTAAATCTTACTTGAGGAAGACCTCCATTGAACCATTGATTGTTGTCGTCGATATATGGAAATAAACCAATATTATAAAATATATTAATGGAATTACCAGTGAAATTTTCATTTAAATTCGAAATAATATCATAATAACTAAGATTTAAAAAACAGCCAAAACTATGACATTTATCGCTAGGAATATTCCAGACGACAGAAAACTTTGGTTTTCGACCGTAGGTCTGGAGTTTGTCTCTTTTAACATCGTAGTGTGCGTTTGAGATGTATAATTCGTCTTCACTGCTATAGAAAATTTTTAACTCGACCAAATTATTAGCGTCATAAATTTTCAAATAAGCTAATACACCAAATACAATTACAAACTGTTGGAAAACTTCCATCTCCTGATATTCTCATCTCTAACGAAACATAAAACACCATTCACGTGATCTGTCACGTGCTACGTGAATAGCTAATTTTACGACTAGATTTTAAAAGGAGAAAGTTATTTTTTTATGATATATAATGCTTTATGTTTGCCTGTTTAACATTGTGAGATGGTTGTCCTTAAGTTTTTGATAATAATTATTATTTTCCTATTTACATACCTTTTTTCAATATCATATAGTTGAGTTTATTTGTACATAATGCCTGGTAAAACCATGTTAGAGTTGAAAGAGTAATAATAATTACTAATACTGGGCGGCCCTGAAGTTTTTGTTGAGATAGCTATAGCACATGGCAATAGGTAAATTAATTTGGCACTGTATTCAAATAATAATCGTCCTATGTTGAATTATAATCCCGTCGTCTAATAGCAAATTTAATTCATTATTTACCAAAAGTCTTTCTCTGTATGTCCGCTTATAACTAGCGAATTGCGCGTCCGATTGTCATCAATTCTGGCATTCACGCTCAGAGACCTACACCGAATAACATAGGAGGTCGGCGATCGAATCTGACACCGTCCATGTCTCCCACCGTATCACACTGCATTCTCAACCACCATCAGCCTCTTCTGCATAAAAATGATCTCGCATGGAGCTGGTACAGGGTAATTTCCAATTGTTTTATATTATATACTTTTACCGCATGACGAAACCTTTCAACACACAGGGAAGACGTAGGGGCCTCGGGAATAGCGTAAGGATGTGGTTCAGAAAAGGGTGTCGTAGTGAATGTTCTTTTACAGTAACTGATTATTGATATTAATAGCAATCTTAATAAATATTTAACTTTTTAAGGTTCCCCAGTTGCCCAGTCTGAAGGCTTATAATGGTAAATACTGGGTTTTGATACCCGTGGTTGGCACAGCACAGATATCCCATTGTGTAGCTTTGTGCTTAACTATAAACCTTTTAAAAATGATTTACAGTCTAGCTTATTTTACTAATTTTGGTATTACATTTAGTCTAAGATATAGTTGTTTTTTTTTTTTAATCATACACTATCTACTGAGTTATTTAGGGTTTTTTCTCTTGGCATTCTGGGCTATACCAGGATCAGAAAATAACTCTTCTGTCCTGTAGAGTAACCTTATTTTTATTATTTCAGTTTAGCTTTAGTTTCTACTCTAAGTTGGTGCTGCAATAGGCAGTATAATGACTGGTATGTCTTCGACGTTCGAGGTGTCTTGACCTTGAGTTAATAAAAGAGGAAAGTATGGATTCACCTCTTTAATCCCTGCAGTTTCTTGCTTTGTCGAATGACGATAAGACAGGGTGATGTCCTTCTAATTCATTTGGACGATATTCGTCTTAATCAATACAACAGAATTACGTTATCTAAAATTCTGAAACAGGCTGTTCCTGTTTCTGGAATTGTGAAGGTAAGGAAACAAGCAGATCGCGGTTTGGTAGTTGAGGTTGTTTCGTTGAATATGTGGAATTAATCTTCCAGGTCATTAAGTTTAGTGATTTTTTCATACGGGTACATTTTCCGAGGGCGTCTCGGGAACGGCGGGATTATTTCTGGAGTTTCGCCAAATATAAGAGTGCAGAATGTGTATTGGATGAACTTCAAACTAATGACTTCAATCCTTGGAATATGAGGGGACCATCTTTAAAAGTTGGATATAGTTATGTGGACACCGACTTACCGAGTCATGTTACTGTCAGGTTTGAACATTTTACAATATTCCATTTTAAGGTTACCGATGTTACTAATTAGGACACACCACTTCTCCTTGTTGCAGCCAAATTAGATGTCTTAAACATGGGGAGGCTCGTAAATTGTCTAATTGTAGACAGGGTTCTCAATGGTGCGTAAATTGTAAGAAATGCATTTAGCTAACTCTTTGCAATATCCATTACATCATGAGACTAAAAGCTAGAGCATCTTAGAGCAGAGCATAATATGCGTTATTGGGAAGTTACTCCCGAAACAATCATCACGCACACCTTCGCACACTGTAATGTTTTTGCATTTTTTTGTTCCTTACTATGCACTGAGGTTGAAAATAAAATGAAAAGTTAGAACTGTTTTCGGGACTAATTTGAGGGCCATGAGACATCCCAGCATTGGACACTAATGTTGTAATTTAATTTTACACTTGCGCCGGATTTGAACCAGAGACTCACCAGAGTCGCCACACACGAGACAAGTGCTGTTCCACATTGAGCTAGCACTTGCTAGTAGGCTAACAACTCAAACTACCACACGCTTAAATTCTTCAAGGGTAAATTTCCTAATTTATTCCTGAGGAACAGAGTTCTACTTTCTAAAAGCAGCCCTTTTCTTTTCTTTCTTTCTTTTTTGTCTTAAATTACTGTTACACTCACAGCTATGCAGAAAGGTAAATATACAAACATGAAAGGCCTGCGGGTTGTAGCAATGATGCATTACTAAAAAAATACATCTATTAGAAATAAATAACAATCACGAATGATTATATAGCTTAAATATTTACCACTACGTAAGTACTTCAGTTTATATTTTTTATCTAAACCCGATGAATAGACAGCCACATTAGAGTCAGATAAAGCATCACAACATCACACACAGGTAATTCTTTGTAAATCTCCAAGTAGACAACCGCCCTTCGGTATAATGAAACTGAATGAATGAGAAACTAGTAATTTAAAACGAATACTGCTTGTTTTTTGTTTAAACGAATTTCAACCCGAACACTAGTGTTTATAACCGAATGTATTTGAATTTGGACGAATTTGTTTTGTTTCTTAATGTCTTATATATTAAAATACTAGTAGTAATAAAAGAGTAATATAACGTTGAAATCACAATATAATAAGAGGTTTTCAGTGGTTTATATATAAAATAAAACAATGTGTTTAAATCAATCCTTTGAGGTGTCGCCTCATAAAGTCTAACTCAGTCCATATTTTGCAAGGAGTAAGCCTAAACAATATGGTGTTATTGCTAGTGTGTTAATAGTGGTGTATCTTTTTTTTTTACTTTTATTATTTCATTTTCAGTGTTTTTTCAGTAATTGAACAAAGTGACATTCAATGACGTTATTTACAGCAGACTGGAGCCCACTGGGCAAGAAAGAATATTACAGAAGAACAGAACTTTATTCTATCGAATGGGGCGAGCAACTTAATTTATCAGACTACATAGTTGCTGCAGGTCAGTTTGGAGGACCCGTAGCTATTGTACGTGATGATAAACAAATACAGAGAGTCCAATTCAGTGGAAAGCCAGTTATATATATATTCTCGTCATGTGGGCAGGCAATATCGTCAATTAAATGGAAAAGTGGCCGCCTGATTCACATGGCATGGTCGTCGACAGAGGAGCTTGTATGTGTGCAAGACGATGGTGGTGTTCTATTATACGATTTATTTGGCAACCATCAATCTGCTTTCAGCATGAGTCAGGAAGCAAAAGATACAAAGGTTCTTGAATGTAAAATTTTTAACGGAAATTATGGAACAGGAATTGCTATATTAACTGGATCATACAGAATTTTTTTAACAAACAATATTAAGGATCCCAGAGTTAGAAGATTAGCAGAAATACCTGGGCTTGAAGCACCACCTAGTAGTTGGGCAGTAGTAGTAGAAGATCGTGAGAGTAAAGTTTACGTAGCTTGCGAAGCATGGCTTTACAGATTGGATCAAAGTGAGAGACGTTGCATACAGATGAATCCAAGTTTTGATTCACCAATCAATGCCATTATAGAAATTGCAGTTTCTTGGGATGGACAACATATTGCTTTGTTCTCTGACAGTGGTGCTCTCTGGACTGGATCCAGTGACTTGGAAAAAAAGTATTGTGAATTTGATACCAAATGCAAGTCCCGTCCACAGCAACTTGTTTGGTGTGGTACAGGTGCTGTTATAGGCTACTGGCAAAATATCCTGCTTCTAGTCGGTATGGAAAAAGACTGGATTAATTATGTTATGGACACCCCTGTTTTTCTTATACCAGAGTTGGATGGAGTAAGAATAATTGGAAATATGACACATGAATTTCTGCAGAAAGTACCAGATGCCGTATCTGAAATATTCCGTATTGGTTCTTTAGCACCTGGTGCTCTGCTTTTGGAAGCTTCTAAGGAATTTCAGCGAAAAAGCCACAAGGCAGATGAATACATTCGTATGATTCGTGAGAAAGATCAGTTGGAGATTGCAGTGCAACAATGTATTCAAGCTGCAGCTCATGAAACTTTACCAACTACTCAGAAAATGCTCTTACGGGCTGCTTCCTTTGGGAAGTGCTTTGTTCCAGAAATGGATTCAGAGACATTTGTCAAGGTCTGTCAAAATTTGAGGGTGTTAAATGCCATTCGTGACCATGCAGTTGGGTTGCCACTGAGTTGGATGCAGTTAGAATATTTAACCATTCCTATGCTATTAGATCGTTTAGTACTTCGCCGCTTGTACTGCTTAGCCATTCGAATATGTCAGTACCTTAAAGTACCAGACATGCAAGGAGCCAGCCGCATATTGAAACACTGGGCATGTAGCAAAGTGAGACAGACCCAGTTGGATGATGACAAGGTTGCTAAACAGATAGCTAACAAACTGGGATTTAACCCAGGAATTTCTTATTCTGAGATAGCCACTGAAGCAGTAGAACATGGACACACACAGCTAGCAATAAAACTTCTTGATTTTGAACCTCGGGCTTCAGAACAAGTTCCCTTACTAATGAAACTAAAGCAAAATCCTCAAGCTATGAGTAAAGCAATTGAGAGTGGGGATTCAGACTTGGTTTATTCCGTGATACTTCATCTTAGAGACACGATGACAGCAGGAGAATTCCATATGACTATCAGAAACTTTCCTGAAGCCTATTCACTGTTTTTGAAGTTCTGTAAAGAGCAAGATTTGGAGCGTCTACGAGACATGTTTTATCAGGAAGATGATTATGGGAATGAAGCAAATTGTCGAGTAATGGAAAGTTACCTAACAGCCCGTATCGAACGTCGTATTAGTTGTTTGAAGTGTGCCTCTGAAGGGTATAGAAAAGCAAAAAATGAATTTAGTGCAACTCAAACTGAAGATGAAATCAAGCTCATAAAATACCAGACAAAACTTGAAGAAAAGTATGTTGAACAAAAGTTTTTAGATCTCTCCCTTCATCAGACAATCCAGCAGTTGTTAATTGATAAACTACACAAGTTGGCTGATGAACTTCGAAAGGAATTTAAAGTTCCAGACAAGAGGTTCTGGTGGCTAAAAATAACAGTATTGGCTGAAACTGGAGACTGGCTTGAACTGGATAAATTTTCTAAATATAAGAAGTCTCCTATTGGCTATGAACCTTTTGTTGATGTGTGTTTAAAGAATGGCAACAAATATGAAGCCCAGAAATATGCGAGTAAAGTACGTGATGAAAATAAAGTGAAGTACTACATTAAGGTTGGGCTTCTTGAGGAGGCTGCAAAGGTGGCTTTTGAGCAAAAGAACAAGATGGCTTTAGATATGGTACAGAGTCAGTGTGGAATAATGAATAGGGCTTTGGCGGAGAAAATTAACTCTATGAAAGCTCAGCTGGGTTGAAATAAGTTGGGATTCTTAAGTAACTATTTTGACAGAAATTTAGCCAGGTTCAATGTCTATAAACGTACCAAGAAGCTGAATGTTATCTTTCTAATTTAGCTTTGATTAATTGAAAGCCCATGGAATCTACTTGTTTCAAAGATTATATATATATATATATATATATAGCAGTAATAAACTGATGTTTTAGATTAGCTTACCATTTAGAAAGTGGGAGCTTGCTGACTTAAAGATTTCACACACGCTAAATTATGTAGAAAACCAGAAACCTTCTTAAGACTTAAGAACTGATTACAGTAACTTAATTTTTGTAATGTAATTTTTATTTCCCAAGTATCATTTTGAATTACCCCTCAAAATTGGCAGATTATTACATAAAAAATAACTTTCTATTTTTAAGATTGATTTGAAATTTTTTTTTAAATATGAGGGCTGATGTTAGCCCACAAAAAATTGTAATTACTTGTTTTAAAAAAAATCACAATTTAAGTTTGATATGTATTGTATAAAACTAAAATCCCTCCCATAAGGTATTCAAGCCACAGAAACTTTGTAACTGATTTTCAATAGAATTCCATTATTCAACATAAACATTGCTGAGAATGTCTGTGTGTTTTACAAGTGGGAAAGGAAGTAGCTGGTTTCTAGAATGTTCTTTTTTCTTCTTTAAATGCACTATTTATTAGTTCTAGTCTAACAGTTAAAATTTTTAAGTTGCTATTTGCTTACAGTGTTTATACTTTATTATAGACGAGGTGTCGTGGTCACTGACTATCATTGCTAACAGAAGCCAAACCGTTACTTTTGTAAAAAATGTATATATTTAAGTGACAGTAGTTATGTATTAATAAAGGATGACAAATATGTACAAAATATTTTCTGCCACCTTGCTTTATTTGTGGTATGTTTATAAATATAATCCCAGTATATTAATCTAAAGAACTTGGAAAATATTGAAAACTTGAACTGCATTTCAGGAAAGAGATTAGGGGGGCAGTGTGGGCACCAGCTAAATGCCTGGTTCTGCTCGTAGCTGGTTCTAGGTTACAAATATTTAACTTACTTGAGCGAGCCCACAAATGTTTCCAAGAATATTAATCAAACGGCATGTAATAGTGCAAAAGCATAATATGGTACATTAAATTAGAGAGAATTTTAAGTTGTTTTTTTTAATACAACTTAACATGACTTGTTTTATTGATTTGTAATTTTTGTTAAAAATACAGAAAATGTTGTAAGCCTTTTATTTTCATTCCAACACGTGGTTGCACTGACTAAGTGTCTTATTATTATATTCCCCTTAGTGTTTTAGTATTTTTTATTCTTGGCTTGCCTTGACCTTGAAAATTTCTGGTTTGTTCCCTCATTCTTCAGAAATAACAAAAATCTAGGGTAACTAGTGTTGCTTTAACAATATAATTAATAATCAGTTTTAAAAACAAAAGTATTTGTGTCAGCTTGTATAATTAAGATACTTATATACTGATAAAAGTTTACAGCCATTAAGAGTATATTATTAAACGAATTATATCACTTTCATTATATCCTCATTAATTTGTCCAAATTTAAGTGGAAAAATAAGTAGTTTCAAGTATATTTTTTTGTTAAATTTTGAATATCTGTAGTAGCTTCGATTCATATGCTAAGCTGATATTTCACGAAGTCACTAATTCAGACGTTAAATTACTCCTCAGCTTTATCAGTAACTGGTGGTTACAGTAAGTTTTAGGGAAAGCTTGGTAAATATTCATATGACAAGGTCTGGTCATTTTCTTTTTTTTTCTATTTGTTCTCTCTCTGTTTCTCTCCTTTTCAGTTTAGTGGATGGGACAATCATAGTGTTTGACAGGCATTTTATACTTGAATGTTATGTTAACCCTCTTTTGCACTTATTATGAAAATATTGAGGGAAACAAAGTTTTCTTTGAATTTCTTACTTAAATAGGTCTATACTGCACAAAAAATATGTTTTTGTGAAAGATAATTTGTTAAATTATAAATGGGTATGTTACCTAGAAATAACATTGTTCAATAGTGGAACTAACATAAATAATTCCATGGTTTATTTACTGTTACCTGTGAGTAGAAGCATTCAGATACAGAATTGAAGCATCTGTCTGTTATTAAGGTACACAGATTTGTTACCTGTACATTACAATGTGCAATAGAGGGTTAAGGTGGGTTATCAAGACAAGATGTTACTTGTGAATTTGTAAAGAACGTTTTGGGTGAGGTAAAGTTCCCAAAGATTCTTTTCCAGTTCATGTGGTTGATTTATGGTACATTAATTTGTCAGTATTTTTTATTTAAAGGAATGACCTAAGGCCAAGGAAAATACTGTTCATTTGAGTTATTAATTTTGAAAAATGTCTTACGATTTTTTCTTTCAGTTTTAATCGAGCATTTTGATAATACTGACCCTTACATTAAGCAAGTATAAGTATTAGTGAAAGTCCAGAAGTCCAGTGCAAACTTTGAATTGAAAATATAAGTTAAGATTATTATTATTAGTGAGATAGCTATGTAGCTTCAATGTTCCATCATACATGTAACTGCAGGTGTACCTGGGTTCAGTGGCATAGTGAGGGTGTCTGGCACCACCTGGGGGCACAATAGAATTTGGTGTCCGCCAATCTCAAATCGGGTGTTCACAAAATTTCTAAATTTCCTATCAACTATGAACCAATTTTCAGAAGAAGAGAACTGATAAGTAGTTGATATAGAAGCTGCTAAAATTAAAATGATCGATAGCTATCAATAATTTACAAAAATAACAGACAAATGATTTAAAAATCTCATTTCTCAAAATGAAATTTCATTCAACAGATTAAAAGATGTGGCCTGGATGGGATAAGCTTCGTACGTTTCATGTCTGCTTCCCTGTAATGTTCATGAACAATAGTGGTTACTGCACCCTCCAAATATGTAAAATAAGAACAATTATAAAATCACAATTTAAAACATTTCGAAAGGAGTGAAATATCCCGTAATGATTAATGACATACTCGTTATTAATACATAGTTCAGATATTTAATTGGAGTTCAAAGAATTTTGTGATGAAAACTTACAATGAAAAGTTTTCGCAAGGAGATTATATAGGAGAGCCGGAAAGATAAAGGAATCCTAGAGACTCCTGACCAAATATGGATATAGTTCCTGGGTAAGTGTATGATATGTCCAATTATACCGTGTCATAATTTACTTTCTTGATTTAAAAATCAAGTTCAAGAAATATTCTCACATTTAAAAAGGGTCTTAGAGGGTAAAGGTTGGAGGAAGGGGGGTTAACTAACGCCTTAAAGTATCCTCAGTGAACAAAAAGCAATATGCTTTGTGCCTCTTTGGTCAGATGAACCGACCCCGTAATGGAGAAGGAATTTTAACTATGGTTGCCAATTTACTATGTGTCTGTATACGAACTGTAGCAAGTTTTTAGTAAAATGTACACAAAAAAATCAGATGCGCTATAAAAGTATTTGTACTCAAGATATGTCGCCCGGCATGACCAGGTGGTTAGGAAGCTCGACTCGCAATCTGCGGGTTCGAATCCCCGTCCCATCAAACATGCTCGCCCTTTTAGCCGTGGGGGCGTTATAATGTGACGGTCAATCCCACTATTCGTTGGTAAAAGAGTAGCCCAAGAGTTGGCGGTGGGTGATGAAGACTAGCTGCCTTCCCTCTACTCTTGCACTGGTAAATTAGGGACGGCTAGCGTAGATAGCCCTCGTGTAGCTTTGTGCGAAATAAAAAACAAAACAAGATATGTTTGTCTGACTCAAACTTTGACAAGATGGAGTGTAAGGTGATGTTATTGTGAAGAATGAAAATGCTTTCGTCCATCGTACAGTTTGTGTATTGTACTTGTATAACCTCTCGAACCTCCGAAATGCATATCTACTTAATATTTTTTCCCGTTTCCCCATGTATTACGTTTAGTATTTATTTTCCTCTTCCATGAGTGGTCGCTAAATCATCAATGTAGAGTAAAAATTACTAATTGATAACTCTTGACATCAAATACTTAATAGCGCTATGTAAAAAGTCGTGGCAAGTGCACTTTGACCCCCAGCCCAGTGTACATTCGTTGAATGTATGTTTCAAATTTTTGAGCCCATCTAATGTATGATCTATGTTTGGACAGTTCATCCAAGACAAAAAGAAATGTAATTACAAACTTCCTTATTTATACAGTAGCAAATAAGAATTTCTGAATTTACATATCGTTTCCTTCTTATTCAATTTGTTTATATTCTTATTTTTATCTTTGAGTAATATTAAGGAAACTAAATCAAATTCATTAGGACTGCTTAAGATTTTATAGCCGTATATTTGAAGTTCTGAGTCACCTATACCTTTTTATTTTACTTTAAGGTCAACTAAATTTACAAGTGATCGTTGAAACAGTGAAAAGAGAGAAGACTAAGCTACGCCAAAGAATTTCAAAGGAAAATATGTTTAATAAAAAATGCAAGAGAATTTGTTGAAAATTTAGAAGAAAAATATGATTAATTTATAGCAGTAGTTTACGACGAACCACTGGTGGTCTGCAAGCTCCAATCAGATACAGCTTCTGCATCAGTATTTCCAGGATGGTCTGCGGAAAACTTACGGACATATGACACTAAAATCCTGGGTTCGATTCTCTGCGGTGGACAGAGCGCGTGTAGCCAATTGTAAGTTTAGCTACAAGGCTAAACAAAGTGCTTCAAAAAGGAAATTTTGAAGTGTGAAAAATACGATTTGAGAGGTAGAACAGTATCATTTTTAATGACCTTTACTTGGCTGTCCCACAGAAAATTTAATCGTAAATGTTAGTAATGAATTTATAAACTTAAATTCTTTTTAAGAAGTTAGAGAAATCGTGAACAGTATATTTCGATTTTTGGTTTCATTTTTTTTTCTTCCTTATATTAAAACGCATCACATTTCACTGTTTTAAACAAAAAATACTTTGTGTCAAGATTTTTATGGAAATGAGCTAGAAAAGTCATGTTTTTATTTCGCTCTTTTATAGTCTATACTAATATATTACTGAAACAAAAGTTCTATGATCTGTTATTTTATTTGTGCACTAAATATGCTCGATATATAAATGTTTATGATACATAATTCAGAATAAATCTAATTGAGATGAACACAAACAGCATTTTTTTATGTCATCTAGCGAGCATTGATTGTAATACACAACATGCAAATAAATTCGGGTAAATAATTAGAAAAGGGTTTGCCAAGATAAATTATTTTAAATATGGCAGACGCCCGAGTTATCTCGGGCAAATCACGGTAAGACTTAATAGTATTATACTAAACATTGAAATACAAACTTTCTAAGCTATTAAAACCAAATTTATCAAGTTTCAAAAATTGTGTTACAGAACGTTAACCTAGTTCGTAAAAAAAAAAAGAAAAAAAAGAGCAGAATTAAACAATGAAATTAATGTTGAAGTAACATATCATAAGTTTCTTGAAACTAGACAAACTTCGGTAAATTAATAATAGATATTCAGTTTTAATCTTTTATTTCGATGGTAAATGATTTTTAAACATTTTATGCGATTCTTGTGACAAGTGTTAATATATATGTTTTGTTGTTTTGCTTTTCCTCGTTACTTCCACAGTTTCATTTAGAAATATGGCACATATAAATGTACTGTATTTCTCCCTTTAACTCCAATAGTAACTGGAAACAAGTTATGGTTCGCCAGGAAAAGTGTAACGAATTAGACTGAATTTCTCTAATTTGAAAACATTTGAAGTAAAAAAAGAGCCTAGACACAATGTAAACAACATTATTCAACGCACAAAAACAAAGTAGAAGTGTATACGGCGTTTCCCTGGTGACATGGGCGCCCGCAGAAATTTTTTCCAGGGGAA